ACTTTGTAATCTCCTCCTTAACAGCTCTCTTTAAAATTGTGAAAAAGAGGCAGTGAAGCCCCGCCACTGATCTGATTACATATTAGAAGCTAAAGCTTCTGCTTGTGTTTGATAAATAGTAGTTTTAGAGGGCGGGCTTTACTCTACAGACAGCTTTGAGGAAGCTGAATAATTATATTTCCTATAGTAATCTGTCTACTTGTCTTATTCATCATTAGTGTTGGTGCTTCAATGAACGTCATGCTCCTTTTGGCAGATTTCATGCACTGAAAATTAACTAAATGCCAATGAAAATCAAATGTAGCAAAGCTTAATTGTGCATTAATTAATCAATGAGGTATTTTATTTGTTGTAGTCTATATTTTTAATTAAGGGATCATGGTTAAAAACTTCCAGCCTGAGGAAGTCAGTGTGTGTGTGTGTGTGTGTGTGTGTGAGAAAGAGAGAGAGAGAGAGTAAAGTTGAGAGACCTGCACACATGAAGTGTGATAACACAATATGAGGAAGACAGTGCAGTCAGATTACTGGGGTGGGGCATATGAAGCAAAGGATGCTGGGATGCTGCCTCTCTTCTCTCCAGTGCACAGCAAGCATAATACTTTTTGGCTTTTTTTTCTTTCTTTTTGAGGATGCAAAGACTGAATATCCCAAGGGTATATCTGCTATTTTGGGAGGTGGGGTGTGACTATGTTGCAGACACACATTCATTCTCCTCTCCTCCCATTTTTCCTCTTTCCTCGACCCACTAAATCTACAGTGCTACAACCAAATTGCTTTGCAGATAAATACAGATGCAGCATAGTGATCATAAGAGACTGTTAACAGCTCTCTGAACCTCAGTTGCATCTGTTGGTGTGGCAGTAGAAGAGGAAGTGTCAGTGGGGGCTCAGTCACATTAGGAAATTCCTCCTTTTAGCCTGCTGACCTCCTGATACACATGCACATTGAGAGAAGGAGAGAAGGAAAACATATTTATTTAAAGCATTAAAAAGCAAAGCATTAATGTAAAGCAACTCAAGTTCAATGATGGTCATTTTATTATAAAATCATGCTTTAAATTGATGAATTTGATTGCATTAAAGGGGTCCTATTATGCTCTTTTACAAAGTCTTGATTTTGTTTTGGGGGTGTACTAGAACAGGCTCTCATGCTAGGTTGTTCGAAAAACAAATTTTTCACATATTTTACATTATTACAACACATCTCTCCCCAGTCATGGCATGAATGGCTCGAATAGTTCCTGTATCAAATGAAGGCCCGCCTTCTGAAATACGAAATGTGCTGTGATTGGTTAGCTGGGCCAGTGTGTGTTGTGATTGGCAGCACTCAGCGCCTGGTCGGGAAATGTCATGCCCCTTACTATAGCTGCCTGCGAGCTTCAGTGTAAATATTGCGTCAATATCAATTAAATTTGAGCGTGATTTAAACCCGATTGATTGTAACCACTCTAAGTTTGTCTGCCTTGGGAAAGCACTCGTTGCCTTCTCTAGTGCAGCTCAACCAGGTCTTGTCCCATTCGTCGATATTTGTGATATCACAAATCCCTGAAAATATGCGTTGTAGTCCAAACGAGTCGTTCGTTG